TTTTTTTTTTGGTTTTTTTTTTTTGGTTTTTTGACACAGGGTCTTGCCATATACAGATAGAATATTTAAAAGCGTTCTGAAAAATGTCTCTGTCTGAAATCAGAAGTAAATGGGCAGAGTGAGTAGTGCAGAGAAATGCCAAGTGCCTATGAAATGCACAGGATTGGCAGTCGCAGTAGATTGAGTTTATGTGTGCACTTGGGTTGATGGAGTCTATTGATAGTAAGTCCTCCATCCTTGGTCTATCAAGGCCTCATGTGGTCACAGGAAAGGAGGTGAGACTGATTTCTGCCATAATGAATAGTGGAGATGCATTTAAATAGGATTAATATGCCTGCTTTCTATATGGTAAATAAACTTAATTTGAAATCCTTTAGGGTAAATAGGCCTGGAGGGTTCGCATAGGAATCTCTTCCTTTTGACCCCATAGTGATCATTTCACAGTGATTCTGTTTAGGAATTCTTTTGAATGTCAGCATCATATGCAACTAAGTACATAGGTTTGAATTTGAGCATGTGTTTAGGAAAGAAGTAAAGCCTTGCTTTGGACACCTTTGTCTGGGCAGGCCACCATCTGCATGAGCACACATGTACATTATTTAGTTCTTCCTGATAATCTTTGCACAGTTACTGCTGAACATACCGTTAAAACCTTTAGAAACAGTGTGGCCCAGGTCTGTCCAGACTAATTCTTTTAAAAAGAATTTTTTTTGACTTTTGTGACTACTGACAAAGATCTTAAAATGATGATTTCACACAAATCCTTCATGCTGCTTCTTCTTCTTTTTTTTTTTCTGTTTTAGCTCCCTCTATCACTCAGTGAGATAGTTCAAGATTTCTACTTTGGAGAGGCCAAGTATAATGAAGTGAAAAAAAGAAGCAGTGTTTCTGCGAGCCGCAACATCCAGTGCACCTTGTCAGTGTCCCACGTGGACATGAAGAAGGAAAGGGTGAGGGGGGGGGTGGGATTTTCCCTGAGAGTAGCACATAGTTTAAATATGAATGGATGAACCTGTGATCTTGTAATTGTGGATTAATGTCAGCGTTAATCAGCTCCTCAGAGAGAGAAAAGCTGGACCTTTTCCCTTCCTGTACCACATTGAGCATTTGATTTCCATGGGCTCCACCATTTATGTGTAAAATTTGAAATGGTTGTCAACTGTCTCTGAGGAGCGAGCTTGAAGCCTTTACACCAGCTGCTGTTGGAGATTCAAAGCCAGAGTGTGGGTCAGGAGGGACGCTGGCTAGGCTGGCTGAAAATGAGTGCTGTGCTCTCCCTGATTACAAAGGGGTGGGTTGCGCCTCCCAGGAACGACTGAACAATGAGAACATTATTGTAGTTAACCATTGGGTAGTAGATGTGCTTTTCTATTTATAAGTGACTTTAAACTTTCCCTTGGCTGTTAAGAAATTTGTTATAGATTTAGCTATTTATTGTTCAATGCCTGCATGCTGAAACAATGCTTACGGTTGTCTTCACGTGTACGGACGTGTGTGAACGTTTGTATGTTTTGCACATTCTGTAGCTATTGGTGTGCTTTGCTGCACAAAATGAAAACTTTTGAGTTACAATTTGGAGTATAACTGGAGGGCGGGTGGGGTGGGGTGGGTATTTCAATTGTCAGGACAGAGAAAGTATACAAAACAGAAAATGAAAACTACATCCCAGAGGTACAGAAACCATGGAGGTCACTTTTCTTAGACACCCACCTTGTAACGGGGTTTCATGGGGCTGGTCACGCTGATGGCTGGTGGGATGAAAGCAGAATTCCTCTTTCTGCCCTCTCCTTCCCATCTGCTACCTAACTTCAGTCTCCGCTGCTGAAATTTGGAAAGGACCAAATCGCTTTACATTTTTTTTTCTTTGTAGAATATCCTGAAATCCTGGAAAATCCTATGGACTAATTCTGTATATAGGGCAGAGATAAAGATGTCCAAAGTTTATTTATTTATCTATTTATTACCCTACGAGAAGGCTTTGCCGTAACTACACTTGATGAGAGAAGCGAAAATGTCACAGGTCCAAATTAATTTACCGACCACATTCGCCTGACTTGTTCTCTTGTTCTCTGTTCTTGCTGTCGGATTGAGCAAGTGCTACAAGTTCTTTAGGAAAACACATTGGTACAAGATACACTCTAGTCATTCACCTTTAGGTAAATGTTGGGAAAACTCTTTGGTATACAAAAGTGACACAATTCGTCATAAAACACCAAAGAAATCCAAGCAGTGGCCCAGTGGAGAGGTTTTCTGGCCCAGTCGGGAACCAGTTGTGAATACATTCTTTGCTCTGTGGAGTGCTTATTGACTGACTGTGCTGTGGTAGGTGTTAGTGCTAGACTCGAGTAGGTGCTTCCTTCCACAGAGCTTTCTGGGAAAGACTAGAGTTTGCAAGTTGATCTGCTTTTGTCCATGTTTCTCACATTGCTGTATCTTAGAAAATAGTTTCAAGACTGATAACCTTTGATGTCGTGTTTGCATTGTCTGATGACAGATAAATCCTTAACATTTCCCTCCACTTTATTACTTACAATGTATATGTCCATCCATGCCATGCTAAGTGGGCTGTAGTTGGACCAAATTAAGTAAGTGAGCCGTTGGAATAAAAGGGAATGAAAGAATCCCAGTACTTTCCAGCAGTGAGGCCCTGGATGTGTTTTAAGCAATGCAAATGTCTAATTGTCTCCTGGCTGCGTAGTCAGTGTCATTACATTGTAGCAGTTGCCGCTCTAGTTTATGATGCAAATCTGTCAAGAGATGTATGTGTCACCGCATGGATCTGAAAGGAAGAATTTTCTGCAGCTGTTTCAAAGTTGTGGTCTGTCCTTGAATCCTCTATTAATTACTGTGTATGAGTCGGATGGAGCCGCTGAAAGGGTGGGCCCCCAGCCTGCAGGAAACTTTCTGGGCTCCTAGTCTTTGAACTGATGTAGGCATTTGGGCTTGCTACTTGACCATTCACACCCTGTGAAAAAGTCCCGCACTTTGAAGCAAATACAATTCACAGCACAGTACACACAAAACCCTTGGCATAAGACAGCGAAGGTTCTTCTTATTTTGTGGGCTGGTTGCTGTAGAAACGGATAACAAAGGGCAGCCTTCCACTTCTGGTATAATTGTGTAGCTCCCTTTCTCTGGGCTTGACACCTGTCTGAATAAGAGTGATTAGAGCTGCGTAATATCCCCCTCGTGGCTATTGAATATGTGACTCACGTACAAAACTGTGTAAGTTAGTAAAATGTTCATGTTCTTATGTACTTGTTTGCTACTACTACATTTTTGAGGTTTTGTAAAACATTTTTTTTTCACAATGTGAAACTGAAGGTCAATAAATTATTATAGAGATTTTCTCTTCATTGTGTGTGGGGGGGTCTTGTCTTTATTGGAATGCAGTGTAACTTCAGGCTTTGAAAACTTGAGCCTTTCTCTTTTCATCAAAAAGGGTCATTTTATATATTTTTCTGAATGTACTTTATTTCACTGTTTTGTCACATGTATTTATTAAAGTCTTGCACATTAAATAAAACTTTCAGCCCAAATGATATGTCTTTCAGCAGAGCAAAATACCTCATTTATCATTCATAAGTTGGATTACAAAGTCACTGTGTAGTGTTAAGATGCATACTGTACATTAGAAATTTAGTTCTTGTATTCCTCAGGTGGGCTATAATTTGATAGAAAGCTGTTAGAGAAGGGGCTGGAGTTTAATCCCATTCATCTACTGACACCCCCCTTTAGCAGTCACTTAAGGGATGTAAAACTGTGTGCAGTTTATTTCTTGGTAATGGCCACAGAAAATAAGTGTGACCCCTCGGGCTCACTTAGCTGCTTCCAAGGTGACAGCTGCCCTGGCTTGCTCAGTGTATGGCCAGGTGCAGCTGCCCGTTGCAGCCTCATGGTGGCTCATGTCACACTGAGATGTCCCTTTATCGCTTGGGTCAGACCCCGTACTTTAGTGTGCACAGCCATGTTGGGCATAATCTCTCCTCGCCAGAAAATAAATACTACCTAATTGGAACTCTGGCCACTCTCCTCACAAGCAGAATGTAATTACGACTTTTGGACTTTGACAAAGATGCCAGAGCAGATGCTTCAGGTTTGACAGGAAGTTTCACACTGGGTGAGGCTGATGTAGGACCAAGCCTTGGGGAAGACACAGTGCACATGACCCATGGGACCTCTGTAGGACACCATGTGTATGACACCAAATGATGGGAGAGTCAAATTGTCAGGAGTCTATGGGTGGGACTTGGACTCTCACAAAGCCTTGATGCTAATCCTTAGAAGGGTGGAGAAAGATTCCTGTAGAGATGACTGCAGACCTTTCATTCTTGGAATTTCTTTGTCATTTCATTTGGGACATTAAGAAGCTACTTCAAGTTCTTAATTTTCCCTTCATTCAAGCATTCAGATCGGTCCAGACAATTTTGGATGACTTGGCTGAGTGTCATAGCAGTCTGGCAGCAGCCATGAAACCATTGGAAGTTGGCAGTCCAGGGCTGGATGGGACAGCACCACCATAGGGCTGTCAGGGGCCCAGAGCTCTTTGTGCTTTTTCGTCCTGGGCTTGAGCCATTAGTCATGCTTACACGATAGTGATTGTATTTCAGAGTCACATCTGCTTTCCAGACAGCCAAAGGGGAGGCCGGGGATTTAGCTCAGTGGTTTCACCGCCTGCTGCGCAAGCGCAAGGACCCGAGTTCGATCCCTGGTACTAAAAAAAAAACGGCTACATGTAACAGACAGCCAAAGGGGAAAGGCATACACTGAAAGAAGCTCTCCGTTTTTCTTGGAATAGTAATAGTTCACCCAATAGGTTCACTCGGGAGACTTCCTTCTTGTTGACCAGAACTAGGTCCTATGAACTTCTCCAGATAAAAAGGAAGCTGGGAAGAGGAGTATTTTCATATGGCCACATTGGCACTGCACACAATCTTGTGATTTTATTAGTAAGGAAAAAAGGAAGGACAGACATTGGATGGGCAATTACACAGGCGATCCACTGGAATGGATGGGGTTACCCCCAACAGCGGCTAATTGGAGCCATTGTGAACAGCCTGGTTTTCTGAGTGTCTCCCATGAGCATGGATATCGCTAAGAATGTGATGTGATTAACATCTCATTGAATCCCTAACAAATTTAGGTAAGTACATTTCTTTCTTTTTTTTTTTTTGGTACCGGGGATCGAACTTGGGACCTTGCACTTTCGAGGCAGGGGGCAGAACCACTGAGCTAAATCCCCGGCCCAAGGTAAGTACATTTCTTAACTTTTCTGAGCTTTAGTTCCTTAGTCTATAAAATAAGCAGGGCAAACATTCTCAAATAGCAAGCATTAATAATATGTAAACTGAAGACAAAGCACCAAGCTCCTCCCCGACATATAGTAGGTCCTAAATAATTTTCAGCTGTCACTGGGAAAAATACATAAATACAAATGTGAGAGCTCCTGTGCCAGGGACTCTGGAAGGTTAGCATGCCAGTGGCCTGATTCACCCTCACAGCAGCCCTGCCAGAGCAGGCACTGTTAGGACCTGCATGTTCAGATGAAGAAACAGGTTGGGAGAGATCAACCCTCCCAAGGGTGTGCTGGAGCTGGGTTTCCAGGCAGGCTCCCTGGGTTGTGCTCCAGGCCCAGGACTGTGGCAAGGTGATTCCTGGGGCGGAGCCCGACTGTTGGAAGCAGGGTTGCCTGATTCCTTAGGGTCTGGCAACAGGACTCAGTGAGATGACTGAGGAGTCCAGCAGCTGGCGGGCCTGCCCAGACCTGAGGACTAAAGAGAAGAGTGGGAGGAATCTGCATAGACTTGAACTGCTCTTTGACAACTGATTTCCAAAGAGAAGTTTGTAGGGAATTTAAATGGAGGCCCTGGACGTTTGTTACACTTGATAATTTATTGAACTGTACACTGACACTTTTTTATAATTCTACCAGTTTAATTTACCTCCAAAGTCACCATGCCAGACAGCAATCTCATAAAGTCCCAGAAAGATGCCCTCTTAAAGTGATTGGGTTTTTATTATTACACATTTGCAGTGCATAATGATTACATTCCTCACGGGGAGTCAGTCCATGCACATAACATCTTAATTCTTTTTTCACTCCCTTCCCTCACCACACCCTCCCTCCCTCTCTTGCTCCCTTTCCCTTCTGCCAAAGCTCTCTCTCCCTATTTCCTATTGTCTATCTTTTATTTTGCCCTTTATTTATATTTTGGGTTTTTCATATAAGAAAAACCATGTGGTATTTCATTTAACATTAGGGTCTCAAGGTGCATCTATTTTCCTACAGATAACTCCTTTATTCTTCTTTATGGCAGAGTAGTACTCCACTGCGTATAAATACCACATTTTCTTTATCCATTCATCTGTTGATGGATATATAGGCAGCTTCCAAGATTTAGTTATTATGAATTATGCTGCTATAAACATGGGTATGCATGTATCACTGTAATATGATGTCTTTAATTCTTTCATGAAGGCCTAGAAGGCGAATAGCTGGGTGAAATGGAATTTCTCATTTTAGTTTTTTGGGGAATCTCCACACTGATTTCCATAGTGGATGTACTATATTAGTTTACATTCCCACCAACAATGTAGAAGCCCCCTGCCCCGTCCCTGCAGCCTTACAAGCATGTGTTATTGGTTCTTTTCTTGACGATAGCCATTCTTTCTGGAGTGAGATGGAATCTCAGTGTTGTTTTAATTTGCATTTTTCTTTTTCTTTCTTTTTTTTTTTTTGGTACCAGGGATCAAACTGCTCTTGCCAGGCAGATATGGCGCCACTGAGCTACATCCCTGGCCCATAATTTGCATTTTTCTAATGGCCAGAAATGTTGAACATTTTTCATAAATTTACTGGCCACTTGTACTACTTCTGAGAAGTGTCTGTTCATTTTCAGTTGCCTATTTGATTGAGTCTTTTAGTTTGGAAGTACACTGACTCTTTCTGTACTTTCTATTTGTAAAATATTTATTGATTGGGTGATTGACTATACATATGGATCTTGGCCTGATCATATATAACAGAAGAACTCTGACTCACAATCTGCAGTAACAAGCCTGGGAAACCAGCCTATTATCTAAATATCAGCGCAGGAAGCCAGTTGCTATCTGTAAGTCAGACCACTGTCTCCAGAAGGCCAAATAATAACCCTAATAAAAATTAGCCTTGAGGCAGGAGGATTCCAAGATTGAGCCTACCCTATTTTGCTAAGTTTGTGACTTAACAAGACCCTGTCTCAAAGTAAAAAATAAGAAAGGGCTGGGGATGTAGCTTAGTGCAAAATCCTGCAATCAATCTCTAGTATTAAACAAAACCAAAAAACAACCCAAACAGCCAGGACTTCATTAATAAATGAGAGCTTCCTTATTTTTGTCCTGGCTTCCAACTTAGGGTTAACCAGACAAAACCAAATATGTGCTCCTGCCCTGTCACACAGGATGGCTCACTTCTCGCGGTGCACCTGCAGCTTGCCCATGGCACCAGGCTCCCCTCTGCTCAAAGCCTTCCCTGTGCACCACAGTGGAACTTTCCCACTTTGGTCTTCCTTTGAGTCTCTGCCAACCCCCGAGCCGCAGTGGCCAACTCCCTCACTATATGGCAAGCTCTGAATAAACAGCTTTCACTTGTTCTCATTCAGTTCATCTTCATTTATTCCCACAGACAAATGTTTGTCCAATAAAATAATTCAAATTTTAATAAAAAGGGTCACAGAAATGAAGTGGGGATCAAGTTTTGTGTGCTGGGCAGGCTAGGGGTTTGGAAGGCCATTCTTGTTATCCTGACTGAATGAAATGAACACAATTCATACATCATGAAAAAATGGATTTTATGTTAATGGGGTTGAGATGAGGGCATCTGGTTTGGCAAAAGCAGAACAATTTCTTATGGAGTATTTTGAATAAAGTGCGAACACTTAAATAAGTTTTACAGCCATATTCATGGTACACATGAATGTATTAATAAATACAAAAACTTTGCAGTTAATTCCTGGTCTTGCCTGTTGCAAATCTTAAGTGCTTTGCCTGTCTGACACATACTCAGACTAAGCCATCTGTCCTGCATTTGAATTTAATCATAGACAATGAATTTTAAAGCTTTGTTATTTGTCAGACATTGGACAATTAGGTGCCAGACCTAACATTCAGAGGGGGAAAAAATGTACATTGAACCATGACTATGAATTAAAAGCCATTTGACTAAGTAAATTATAAATCTACCATAATCTTATCCAGCTATGCTTACAACCCAGCTTGCTTTGTGAGTTTGGGGAAACTAAAGGGGACAAAATTCTCTCTCTCTCTCTCTCTCTCTCTCTCTCTCTCTCTCTCTCTCTCCCCCCTCTGTTTCCTTGGCAACTATAATCTTTATCTCTGCAAAGATGGGGGACTGCAGTGAGGAGAGACAATTGGAATTTCAGCAAGTCTCTCACTAATCCTTTTCTTGTGTTATCAGATGGTTTGTTTTGTTACAAAAAGTTATTTTACACTCCCCTCTTAGATAGCATTGGGAGGTTTATTGGCTATCCTAAATACGTGGAGA